AAAAAAAAAAAAAAAAAAATTGGAGGACATCTAGCTGGTATCCACTGCAGAACTGCTTGCTTGCTTGCTGGTGGGGAGAAATCCCCACATGTTTAAAGTTGGAGAACACTTTTTTTTGACACAGAGTCTTGCTGTCACCCAGGCTGGAGTGCAGTGGTGCGATCGTGGCTCACTGCAGCCTCGATCTCACAGGCTCAAGCAATCCTCCTGCCTCAGCCTCGATCTCACAGGCTCAAGCAATCCTCCTGCCTCAGCCTCCTGACTAGTCGTGTGTCATCACACCTGGCTATTTTTGGTAGAGATGAGGTTTCACCATGTTGCCCAGTCTTGGAGAACACTTTAAAATGTTACTGTCCAGAACAATGGGGAGGTAGAAGAGTCTAACCTACTTTAGAGACTTCTTCAGAAAGAAACCCACTTCTCTCTGGGTCTTCATCTGTTTTAACTTGTTTTTGTTTGTTTTTTAAGGAGGTCTCGCTATGTTGCCCAGGATAGCCTCAAACTCCTGGGCTCAAGCATCCTCTTGCCTTGGCTTCCCAAGTAGCTAATTACAGGCACATCTGGCTATTTAACTTCAAATGACTCATCCAATCAGTGGGCAGGATTTATAGTGACAAAGAGAAAAGCATCTAACCAGAGAGAACACTGAAACTATCTCAAAAAGAAGACACAGTACACAATGTTTCAAAATGTGGATATTGTTTACTTGAAGCAACAGTCCAGGATTGTGAAGTACAACACACATTTTAAGGATGAGACTTTCCTTTCACGGTCAAGCACCAGCATCATGCACACAGCATCAAGTTATTTAAAAAAACACCCCTGTGGGATCCCGTTCCTGGATGAAGGCCCACTTCCGTGTGATTGCCTCCCTTGCTTCACTGCTCTTAGTTCCAGTCAGTTTCATTGTACATCCAAGCCTTCCTCTGCCAGAGAGCAGAGGCTCTGCTCATCAGCCAGCCAGTCTTGTTACTATCTGGCTACTTTTTAAGGTTAAAAAATAAAAGGCAGTTTCTTTGCTTTGCAGGCGGCAAGGCATGAGGCACAGGCCTCTTCATTGTTCACATGGCACAGGAGGAGGCTCTGAGCAAAGGCCACTGGCAAGTTAGGGCAACACCAAGGCGGCTCTGTGGAGAGACTCCCTGTGCTGAGGCCTGGCAGGAACGGTGCCTGGGGACTGTTCATGGTCTGACCAGTTGAGGCTTGGTAAACCCAAGTAAAGTGTTAAAAACCTCAGTACAAAAGATCCTCTAACACATCTGGAACCAAATTATTTGTTCTTAAAAACACAGTACTAAGTGTCACAAAGCTTTCCCTCCAATCTACTACTAGAAAACACTCATGCCACGGCCCACAGACCCAGGAGTCAGGACAGAGAGAAACCTGTTCTTCAAAAGAAAAAAAAGAAAAAAAAAAAAAGACAGCAGTACATAAAGTGCTTCTTTTTAATGAAACAAATCCAAGAGATGTACAGTCAGGCTCAAGTTGTGCAGTTCACAAGCATGGAGAAAACAGACAAAACGACAGCATTCAGGACAGTCAGAGCTAACCCAACACGAGGCTGGACTTGCCGCCAGGGGGATTTCTTCTGGATGGCACTGGGGCCGGAGCCACCGGGCTGGGCACAGGCGCAGCAGGCACCGGCTTCTCTTCACTCTGCCCCAGGCTGCCTGGCAAGTCTGTGTCCACATTTTCTATGAAAACAGGGAATAGAAATAACACTCATAACGACAGCTATTTCCTGTTAAGATTAAGGATCTTTTTTTTGTTTTTGGTTTAATGGTTGGAAACATACCTAAAAGTATAAAGAAAATA